AATGCCCAGAGGTGGACAGCTGGTCAAATTCAGGTATGTCTATCCATCCTTAACATGATCAGCCTTTCAGTCAGATTTCTTGTCATACAATTCACTCCAGATTAAAAAAAAGTAGCTTCCTCCAGTCTGCCCACCTACCTAAATGCTATCCCTTGAGGCTTATTTGAAGTGGTACTACTTCTGTAAAGAATTCCAGCTACCCTAGAAAGCACAGGATGCCAAGAGATTACTGTTGGAAGGAGTCCTGTAGGTCACTTCATACAATAAAACATCCTCTAATTTTTTAGAGGGAGAAAATGAGGTCCAGAGAAATGAATTTACTTCTCAATATGAATATATTGAAAATATTTCGACAATTGACAATACACGACAACATAAATAAGCAGTAGAGTCAGGATTAGAAACCACGTTCTAAATCCTAGTGCAGTGTGTTTTCCAGGCTGTCTTGGTCTACTACATGATGACAAAGGAGAAGGAAGCTAGATGGTACAGTAAATAAAGAATTGGACCTGGAGTCAGGAAGATGTGAGTGCTTTGTAAACCTTAAAGCACTATGTAAATGCTAGCTATTATTATTATTTTTATTATTATTATTATTATTATTATATTAAAATATTAACAACTCCCATTTATAAATCATGCTAAGGTTTGCCAATTGCTTTGCATCTTTCATTTCATTGATCATCACAGCATCCCTGGCAGGTGGTGCTATTTTTATTTCCATTCTACAGATGAGATAACAAAGGGTCAATTAAGTTAAAGAACTTGCCCAGGGTCACACAATGTCTGAGGTAGTATTTGAACCCAAGTCATCCTCACTACATTTTAAAGGTTCTATCCACAATACTTTGCCTTACTTAATTGTTGTAAAATATAAGCTATTCTCCCCCCACTCCGATACAGTAGAAAGTCTAAACAGTTTATTAAGAGATTGCTGTGGGCTGAATGGTTGTACAAAGTATTTGAATAGGGCCTTGAAAGCCATGTAAGATGTGGACAGGCAATCTGAGGGGAAGAGCATTCTAGTTTGGAGGAATCAAATGAGTAAAGAAATCAAAGTGAGGCCGTGCATCTGGCATCTGGTGACTCTGAAGGAGAGAATGAGGCTGATGACTTTATACAGCCATGCCTCCCTTAAATCCAATTCCCTTGCAAGTCAAGATGCCACCCTCTTGATGTCAATGGTCCTCTCTGAGAACTAAGGATGAACAACAATGAATGGTAAGGTAACCCATCACCCTATTTTCCCCCATCATACCTTGACCGTTGAGTTTTCTCTTCAGGTTTTAAACTACTACCAGTTCTAGCTTAGCAAAGTTCATAGGCTCATAGGTCTAGCGCTCAAAGGGACCTTAGAGGACATCCAGCCCAACTCTTTCATTTCATAGATGAGAAACTGAGGCCTGAAGAGTTTACATGACTCAAGTTAGTGCACTCAAGTAGTATGCCTCTGAAGCAGGATTTGCAACCAGGTTCCCTGACTCCTGAGTCAATGCATTCTCCCTTGTGCCAAACTCTTAAGTCCTTTGCAAAGAAAAGGCCACAGGGATTGTTAATCCCGCTACTCCCTCTCTTCTCAATAAAAGTCAACCTACATTTCATTATGAAATAAAAATAAATCAAACTTTCATTTACTTCTGCAAAAACCAATCAACTCTTCCTCAATCTTGCAAGCTTCCTTCCAGTTGGCTTGAACCACACTCATGGGTGACAATGTAGCCACACTCAAAATGGGAATCCCCTCACCCAGGGTTCCTTCCTGGGTTTGATTCCCAGATGCTCGGCCCATAGGATTGCTTACATGGCATTACATCATCCCTGATTTCCTGGCACATCTTTTAGCTTCAAATTTACTAGTATTCATTATTCGCCCAAAAAAAAGAAAGAGGATAATTTACATTTCCTGATTCAAAGCCAGGGCCTATTCATCATCGCCTGCATATCGCTTATAAAGATGATAAATGAATGTATAGTAACTGAACCCTAAAACAAAATAATGTGTTTTTCTTAAAGCTTCGCAGGGCTGCATTTCCGTTGTAATTAGTTTACTTTTTTTAATCAAATTCTGTTAAGCAGCAGTCAAAATGAAAGCTGATTTTGAGACTGCTAAAAGCAACCCAAAAAAGAGAAGGAGAGAAAACAAGGATATTTTTTCCCATTTAATGGTGCAAAAATATCAAGGTAATTGCATGACTTTCAGAAACAGCTAGAATATAATCATGTTCTGCTGATTGTATGATATTCAAATATAGGGTGTTACAAAGGGAGCATATCATTTGGTGAGAGCTTAGTGAAATTGCTATTTCATCACTAGAAATACATATTAGACGTGATTTCTTTTAACCTTCAGTGGCTCCCCATTGCCTACAGGATAAAAAGAGAGAAACATAGCATACGTTAGAACTGAAAAAAACTTAACAATCATCTATTCCAATCCATTCATTTGATAGATGAGAGAAACTGAGGCCTAGATTAGCTGAATGACTTTATCAAGGACACTATAGCAGGGTGATGCTGCCGGATTCCTATCCTATGTGTTCCAGTTATGTTTTAGGAAAATTTGACCTGGCTTCAAAATCCTTTATCTTCTAGTTCCACCCTACCTTTATCACCCATTCCCCTCCTACAATGAAACCCCTCTTAGGCCTCTCTCACTGTCTCTCTAACATTTCCTGCACTTTCCTGACTCCAGCCCTGTGCTCAACTATTACCCCCACCATGAATGCCTTCACTGAGATGATATTAGTCCATTAGATGTTAGCACCTCTTAGATCCCACAACTTGGCTTTTTTTTCTCCACCAGGAAATTCAGATCTCTGATTACTGGTATCCGCTTTAGGTTTCAAACTACTCCCAGTTCATGGTGGTTTCCATTCCCTGTAGAGAGAAAATCTTGGGATTTCATTCATCTTACCACATCTATTTCTCTTTGATGATAATAGTCATCCCCCCCCAAAAAAAACACACACACAACGAGTTTTTTTTCAGGGAGCTTACAAAGAAGCCCTAGAGGGGGAATTTAGTGAAAGGTAACCAATGAAAGAGGTGAACAATTCATTTTACGAAGGTTCTCAGCCTTCTTCATGGTCCCCTCTCAGATACAGGATTTTGACTGTTCTCTTGATCAAAAGTCATTAGTCCATTGCCCTAATTTTATAGACAAGGAACCTGAGAACAGAGAGTTGAAGTGAAATGTTGAATTGTCACCCAGCCAGTAGATCTGGCAAAGTTGGAATTCAGATTCAGGTTCTCTGACTTGAAAGTTAGTTTTTCTTGTTGCTGCTGCTGCTGTTGGTTTGTTTTTGTTTTTTCCACAAAACATAACTTTAATCCATGGCATGAAGGAGAGGAGAACAAATTGCCATTGAGACCTCAGGAAGAAAAGACAATTTTCAACCAGCAGGAAAATGAATAGGAAAGTACTTTGAATGCTGTAAGCCCTTACAAATGCAAATTGAGACAATGGGAATGGGGATGATAGTGATCCTGATTCTCTGTCTTTTGGTTAAGAACAAAGAGGTTGATGGTGGTGATGATTCCCTCAAGATCCTGCAACCCAGAAGCAGTAAAGTGTACTTCAAAACTAATAGGACATCAAGGTTGGGAAAATGGTGAAATCAAAAATTTATCTTCAGCAGTCTCAGCCTCCTCAGTTTGGAGGTGCCCTCTACCTATTTGTAACAGACTTGTGCCACCATTTGCTCTCTCCATAACCTTATAAATAGCTACTGTTAGGAAAGACACTAGCATCATCCACTTAGATGTAAAGGAAAATATGTCATTTTGTTCCAAGGGGGAAGGGGGTTGCAGTACACAGAAGAATAGTTAGGGGCAGGAAATTAAAGGAGAAAGGCATCAACAACAGAAGTAATGGTTTTAGAGAACAGATGATGGGAATTTTTAGGGCAAGGAAATTTCCCAGGATTCCTGAAATCATACCACACAGACAGTGGCCTACTTTGCCTAAACTGAGGCCAGCATGGATCTTTTAGGAGATTCCAGAAATCATTGTACCCATGCCTGCTTGGTGCCCAGGGTGCCAAAGAACTTCTATGATATGACTAGGGAAATAGAAATTCTAAGTTACCAAATTGGGTAACAGCTGGAAAAATATAGGATTTGTCAAGATGGAATCCAAGGCAGGATAGAAGAAGATTCAAGAACTGAACCTGGGACAAGGATTGAACATTAAATAGGACCTAACAGATGGGCATGGTGGGTGACATTCTTAGGGTCAACTTTCCTTTCATATGATCCCTGGATAATCCTCACAGCTCAGAACGAGAATCCCTTGGGACTAGAACAGGAACTCAGAGATGGTAGGAAACAAAAAGTGGAGACTGGGGCTTAGATGTCATATGCTACGGCTCCAAGCAATGAGCTTAGGTTAGGAATCTGAGGTATATACCAGAAATACTAGACAAGGTATCCTAGAATCCAGAGAAGGAGGATGGGAAGGAAGATGTTTTAACAGACCAGATTCTATATCTCTGAATAAAAATCACCTCTGGGACAGCTAGGTGGCTTGGTAGATAAAACACTGGCCCTGGATTCAGGAGAACCTGAGTTCAAATCCAGCTTCAGACATATAATGATCACTAGCTGTGTGACCCTGGGCAAGTCACTGAACCCCATTGCCTAGTCAAAAAAAAAATCACCCCTAACCAGGCTGGCTGGACTCCAATAGTCTTTGGTTTAATAGGATAATAAGGGGAGTCGTCATGATCTATTTGACAGGGCTACTTTCTACAGAGGTGCACCTGTGTGTTGGGCATTTCCAGCAACACACATGCTCTGATCTCTTGCTAAAGAGCATGAATGAACAGAGGCCTCTGGTTGGCCCCTGGGGAACCATGAGATGTGTCAGAGGATTGACCGCTAAGGTGGACTTCATTTGCTCCATCTATAAAGGGTTTGGATTTCTTGAGAGCAAAGATTACTTTGCTTAATTAATTAATTAAAACTTAGTGCTTAATTAATACTTATTTACTGATTTATAGGTGACTTTTTATGGTGCCTCTCAGCCCCATATTTATGATCTCTCCCATAAACTACCTGGAGGTTCTTCCAGCACCTTCTCTTAGACGTAAGTTTGAAATCATCATTCCTTCTTTAAATCTGCCCCTTTTACTAACTTCTCTTTGATGAAGGCACTAAATAAATTTCTAGTCACGTAGGTCTGAAATTTCACAGAAATATTTGACTTCTCTCTTCTTTTCCTTTCACATCTCAGCAGTTTCTAAATCCTGTTGATTCCAAATAGGTAATATCTCATGCATCTGTACCTTCCTCTCCATTCCTATGACCGTGACCCTAATCCAAGGAGCATCTCATTACTTTTTGTTTAGACTAGCATAGCAGCAGTCACAGACCTGTCCAGGTTCACACTTGAATAATCTAGGTCCAATTCCACTTGAACCACATCCATCTTCACTTTTCCATGTGGAGACTATGTGAGTATTAGAACAGAGCCATTCAGATACCTGACATCATACAGGGCTATGTCATCAATGTCTTTTGACTTGGAATTGCTCCTTGGGTTTGACCCTAGCACCTACACCCATCTCATCTTACAAATTATATCCATGGGGCAAGGGGGAAGGAAGGAAATAAACATTTACATAGTAACTACTAAATGCCAAGCACTATGCTAAGTACTTTTTAACATGTTATCACATTTGATACAGCAACCCTTGGAAGTAATTGTTATTATTATCCTCATTTTACAGTTGAGGAAATTGAGAAAGAGGTAAAGTGACTTATCCAGAGTCACATAGCTATTAAATGACTTAGGGCAAATTTCAACTTAGATCTTGCTGACTCCAGACTGTACTGATATCTGCTTATGTGTAATACCTTAATTCTCACTCTTTCAATGATGCAAGAATTTGAAGCGTATTAAAGGAGAAAACCTGAAGCTTTTAATAATCGTTGTCCAAAAATACACAAAACTGTCAAAGTTATAAACCTAGACACACCCAAAATTTGCTGTCCTATTCTTTCCCCCCATCTCATTTCTCCCTTCTCTTTCCCTTCTCCTCTCCCCTTCCCTCTCTCTCTCTCTCTCTCTCTCTCTCTCTCTCTCTCTCTCTCTCTCTCTCTCTCTCTCTCTCTCTCTCTCTCTCTCCCTCTCTGTCTCCCTCTCTGTCTCTCTCTCACATACACACACACACACACACACACACACACACACACACTTCTGATCATTCTAAGCTCAACACTATACAACACTATCCATATTCCACAACCCCAGGGGTCAATTTGGGTGCCACACACTACCACTGTTACCAGTGTCTGCAGAACATCTTTACTGACCTTCCATAGCCCAGACGTTAATTCACAACTATGGACATCTGTGAGCCATCTTCAACTTTGGAATGCAGCTGCTACCTTTTCAGAGTCCATCAATAACCTACTAATAGGTTTCCTTTTTTCCAGTCTAACCTTTGCATAGCTACCAAAGTGTTCGTTCTGAATTCCATGTCTGACTATGTCACTTTCCTCCTTAAAAATCTTCATTGGCTCCCAGTTTCCTATAGGATATAATTCAAGCTCCTTTTCCTGTCATTCAAGACCTTTCATACCCCAACAATCTTATTATTTGATAGGCATGGTTTCATACTATTCTTGCACGTTTTATGTTACAGCTAAACCAGATATTAGTGATTTTTCAATATTGTTCTGAATTCTGAGGTTTTCATGAATTTATACAGAGTGTCCCCCATGCCTAGAAGAGACTCCATCCATACCTCTGCCTGCTAGGATCCTCTCCTCCATCAAGGCTCAGTTCAGGTGTTACCTCTTCCATGAAGCCTTTTCAGGTCCCTAGTTTTGGGGGGCCTCTAAGCTCCAATTAAAGCAAAGCCCTGAGTTCAGGGTTTTATAGAAAACTGGTATTTTGGGAAGCTAGCACAAACAAAAATTTTATCATACAGAGCAGCAAGCAGGCAAAGATAAAAACACACACACTGAGGTTCATCCCCACAAAAGAACAAACTTACCCAACTCAAGAAGGTGGGAGTTACATCAGGGAAAGTACATACACAAAATTAGAGTTCAAGTAGGGAAGTTGTATGGGTAGGTAGACGGTGCAGTGAATAGAGTGCTGGGCCTGGAGTCAAGAAGACCTGAGTTCAAATCCAGCTCAGACGCTTACTGGTTGTGTGACCTTGGAGAAGTCACTTAACCCTGTTTGCCTCAGTTCCTCACTTATAAAAATGAACTGAAGAAGGAAATGGCAAACCACTCCAGTATCTTTGCCAAGAAAACCTCAGAGTCAGACACAATAGGCAGCAAGGGAAGTTTTATACCCTAAAAATGTCCTTGGTGAAGAACAGGTTATCAGTACCAGATGGGGGAGGTGACATTCTTAATTAGACCAAGATGTAGTGGAGAAGTTCTTGGGGTCACTTATGGATACCAGGCTCAGGTGAGAGTCAGATAGCGATAGTGTCTTTATCCAGACCAGAAATCAGGTAAGAGCTTCAGTTGTCTATCTGAGGCAAGAAAAAAGGAGTTGCCCATAGGCCCCTGCGGCCAACCAGGAGTTTTATCTGTTCAGAAACTGCAAGTATTAACTACCTGACACAAGGTTACAATCGTTTGGGATAGTGGAAAAGTACAAAACCATCATTGCTTTTATGTATATTTTACGGGCCTTAGGACCACGTAACCAAAGAGATTCCATATTGGAATACTGTCATTTTAACCATAACATCAAACAATATAAAAATAATAATAATCACATCCCTGTGCCTAAAGAATCTCTCCCTTCTTGATTTCTTGTCCTCTATTTGACCTCTTCTATGTACTTATCACATTTTAACATTAGCAGCTTATGAGGTATGTGCCTTAAATTCCCTTGTGGAAATTCTTACAGCAAGGACTACATAACATCCCCAGTACTTGATACCTTGTTTGGTATATAGTAGGCGCATGCTAAGCATCTATATAATTGGGATGGATTCAGGTGAAAGGAAATCTAATTAATTCAATTCAAGGAATATTAGTCGGTGCTTAAATGGGATACAGAGACAAAAACAAAGCAATTGCTGACCAGAATACATTTAAAGTTCTAGTGGGGTGGGTAAAATATCTGGTGGGGAAGTGGTTATAATATACACCAAAATACAAGTAGCACAAGAATAATTCAAGATAAAGACATCCTCAGGATTCCCCAGGGGTGAGGAATCTTCATTGGAGGAGATGACCCTTTTGAGATTCTGATGAGTTCTGTTAGAGAGTAGCCTACCTAGTTGGCCATGGGCTGCTTCAATGTTGTGAGTCCAAAAGATCAACTCCAAATGTCTTGGTGCTCCAGTTTTGAGCAAATAATATTGATTATAAGGTTCTTTGTAGAACTAAAGTCAATGAGGATGATTGCAACATTACTTTTTCCAGGGAAATAGACAATGGAAAGTTCCTTCCATGCAATGGTCTTCAGTCTTGTTATTCTGTTCTACACATACTCTGACATGTGCAGAAGTTTTCCCAAAAGTTCTTTTCCCAGCAGGCAACAACCTAGGGTGGGATGAGTAGGAGGAAATGGGATTAGTTAGCCTTGAAAAGAGAAGATTTGAAGAAGTGAGGGGACAACATAAAAGCTGCCCTAAAAAATTTGAAGGGTTAGTACTTTTTTTTAACAGCAACAACACAAACCATGACTCATCACATGAAATAGTTTGAGAATTTGTGTGGTTGGTGTATGTGTAATGGGTTCCCTCCCCCAAAAAAATTATCGAAGTGGGATAGCTACAGTGCTTGATTTACTTGAAACCATCAAAACTTTAAAGAAAAATAATCCTGTGCTTATAACTATGAGCATGACAACTAGGCCTCGCTGTTTCTATGGGACACCCTTTGTCAAGACATGTTTAACTCCCATTTTCTAGCCTGGAAAGAGCAGTGTCTGTAATGGATGCCAGAGTATGTACTCTGCTTAAATATTTGAAAAGGGAAAAAGAAGGGAAGGGAAGGAAAAAGTAATAACCTACAGATAAATTAACTCTGTGTTAGTCTAGATGCCATGAAGGCCAACTGCTCTGGACATGCATCTCATGTAGAACAAACTATGAACCTCCCCCTTCCCACCATGAGCACCCTTGGCTGGCAACGCAAGGTCTGCACTACGCTGCCTACTCCCAGCCAGAGAGCCCTAGAGGGCAGAAACAGCAACAATGGCTAGAAGTTACAAGATGGTAAATTTAATCCCTAATAGGGATATACTGAAACCAGTTCTTATCAGCTAGTGGGAGCCCTTGTGAGTGACTACTTATTTGGAGATATCTTGGAAAAGCTCCTATTCATCTATTAATCGATCAAGATGGCCTCCAAAGTTCCTTCCAATTCTGAGAAGTTGTGTGTAATGGTCAGCTTCTATCTCCCCAACTCATTCCCTACCCACCCAAATGTTAGCATCACAGAAACATACAGTTGAAGGGACTGCCTATTCAGAAGAAGAGTCCTCTCTGGCAATTGGTCTAGGATGTTGTCAATCTCTAAATAATTTCAGGGACAGAAAGTTCAATGCTACACAAGACATCTCATTCCATTGTGGGGCAGCTCTGTTATGAGAACAATATTTTTTAATGTTAAACTGTAACTCCTATCCATTGGTCCCAGTTCTGACCCCTATCTGGCACTACACATCGCAAATCTAGTGTTTCTTTATTATCACCTCTTTTCAAAGATGAGAAGACAGCAATAAAGTTCTCCCTTAAGTTTTTCCTTTTCTCCCCAAAATAAAGATTCCCTAACTTCTCCAGGAGCCAAAGAGTTGGCTTTGAGGTCTACTGCTGCATTTATTAGGTACGTAGACTTGGGTGAGTCACTTACCCACCCTGGTTTTCAGTTTCTCCATCCATAAAATGAGATGGGCTTTCATAAAATGTTCTATGGGCATTAAGACCACTTAGCTGAAGTAACTGTATTGGAATGCTATCACTTTAACTATCAGTTAGTTACATTTAACTATATAGCTATATATAGACTAGATCAGGTATGTAACTATATATCGACTAGATCAGTGGTATCAAACTCAAATGGAAATGGGGGCCACTAAACCATACATAAGGATCCCTGTAGGCCACAGATTGGCTTAGATATGTTAACATCATCTATGTTTCATGGTATTTTTATTTATTTTGTTAAATATTTCCCACTCACATTTTGATCTGGTTCTAGGCACAATGGGGAGTGTTGGCCTGGGGAGCCCCATGTTTGACACTTCCAAACTAGATCATCTCTAAGATTCCTTTTAGCTCTAACAGAATTCTCTGTTCTTCAGATCACCTGGACTCTAGGCCCCTCTTTCTCCTGATCACCCTTTTTTCTACATCAGCCTTGATTTACACCCCACCCGCATCCCACACTAGATTTTCCACCTTCCTGCAAAAGACATACAACCACCTTTTCTTATTTTCATATGCAGGGTCTCAGATCTGGTTCTCTCCAATTGCAGGCTTAGAATCTGAGCTGATTGGTTCTACTGAGGAAAGGCTACCCCCAGATGACCTTCCTATGTTTGCTTTCACACAGAGCCCAACAGCGATCCACAATGAACCTCCTCCAAACTTTGCTGGCAAGGCATCCCTGTCCTGGACCAGAGACTGAAGTGCTGGAACCTGGGGCAAGATATAAGCAACTCATCCAAGGGGAAGAAAAGAAGTTGGTGGGGGTGAGGGGGATTACTGTCATGTGGCAGGATTCTCTAGTAGTCTGATGACAACAGAGATCCAGCAAATGAGTAATGTTTCAGTGTTCCTGCATTGGTCATATTCTGTAAATTGAGCAATTTGGAAATACACAGATGATAACTAGTGGTGAAATAAACCATCTGATGGCTCTTTCACGTCCTGCCACCAGAAGAAGGTTCTGACCTTGCCTAGAGGTGCCACACTCCTCTTCCCTATCACTTGTCTCAGCCTATTCACCTGCTATGCTCAGTTCCTATAACTCTCATTGCCTCACCACCTCCACCTCTTACAGTCCCTTACTTCCTTCAAAACTCAGCTCGAACATCATGAAGCCTTTCCCTACCACCCTCAGCTGCTAACACCCTCCCCTACCAAGTACTGTGTACTTGTTTTACATATTGTTTTACATATTTATATAGGTACATGTGGTATCCCCCCACCCCATGAAATTTCCTTCAAGGCAAGAGTGGTGTAGTTTTCTGTTTGTGTCTCCAGTGCCTGTTACAATGCATTGAACATAATAGTTTGTTGATTGATGACTTGAACAGCCTTCTGCTCTTGAGACAGCAAGGGTACATGCCACCCCCACCTACAAGGCAAATGAGTCAAAGGTTATGAAACTGCATGGCATCAGGGTCCTTTGGAATCACAGGTGACAATCTACTTTATCAACATCTCTATTAAAATGTGGAGGCCAGAAGGGGATACAATACTCCAGATGTGCTCTGATTAGGGCAGAGTATACAGAGCTATCATTTCCTTTTGTGATAAAGTTGCTAATATAGACACTGTCCTTCTCTTAATTCAACTTAAAGTCACATTAGCTCTTTTTTCTGCTATGCTATTCAGCTGATTCCTATAGAGCTCACTGTCTAGTAACCTCTAAAATTATTTTCATATAAAAAAAATTGTCTCCCTCTCCATTCCCATCCTATATACAAGAAGTTGATTTTTTTCCCCTTAAGTTAAACATAGGACTTTACATTTATCCCACTTAAACTTGATGTTATCTGTTTCGGCCCAGTGTTCATCTATATTCAGATCTTTTTGAATTTTTACTCTGTTATCCAAAAATCTCTCTCTTACAGCTCTGTTATTCTCAGATTTGGCAAGCATGCTCTATATGTCTTCATCCAAGTTGTTGATAAAATGTTGATCAGGAAAGGACCAAGATAGGACTAAGTTCTGGTTACCCCAGGTGAATGTTCAATTGTCCTGGTGCAGGCAGGGTCATTCTCACCCTGCTCCTCTGTATTCAGCACCTAAGTACACTCTTTTTTCTCTTTGTCTTCTCACAAATTCCCCTATTCCCTATTTGATCACCTTTTATCACCACCCCTCCCTACTCCCCCTCAGCTCTAGAGGGTCCTCTATTCAAGGGCCCTGGCTACAGAATTCCCAGAATGTATATTGCAAAGAGAAGCAGAGATGCATGAGGAAGGCCTGCATTAAAAATAACCCAAATGAATGACTATTGAGTCACATGTCCTATTAGCAAAGTACTTGTGTGGGAACAAAATGTGGTTGTTGGTTTTGTTTTCATTTTTTTTTAATACAGTCAAGGCCCCAGTGGGGAATGAATGTGGAATATCATCCCATTTTATAATATATGCACCATAATCTTCTTAAAATGAGTTTTCACTTCAAGAAACAGAAGGGCTTAAATATGAGCAGCCGGGTTTTTTGTGTGTGTGTTTGGCATCTCATTATACTTCAGACCGTTTTGTCTTCTTAGAACAATTGAATATCATTAGTGGAGGCATATTTTGTTGCCAGAACTTGCTTGGTTGAGATTGTGCTCGTTAAAATGTGTCCATTTGCTGGCTGATGGATGAGAATTCTGAAGGGAGCCTGAGCACCCATGGGAAGGGTGGGGGAACATAGGAAACTCAAAACTGTCATGTCATTCTTCTACTCAGAAAAAATAGCTACTGGATCAACATCAAGCCTAAAAACCTTTCCTGACCTCCCTTCACCATTTTGCTTACTCTCATAATATACAGTTCAGATGGTGGTGTAGATGAGGTACTAAAGACATATGGCAAGATCTTGGCCCTTGAGTGAGGAGTGCACTGTCTTGAGAATAACTCATTTCTATGGCACTTTGAAGTTGACAAAGCACTCCACTTTCAGCAACACTTCGAGGTACACAGTGCCAGTGTTTGCTGCCCACTTTACAAATGAGGAAGCTAAGGCTCGTCAAGTTTGTGTCCAACATCATATAGTAGGGGTGTGATTTCCATTAAACAGACTACTTGTTAATCTTATAGCAGCAACAACATACATCACACAAAATACAAAATAAGCCTTTAAATGGAATATAATTCAGTGCTAAAATGTAGTGGGCAGAAAAATAAACTCTCAGAGAAGTCACAAAAGATAAAGAATAATGTGGGCTGGACTTTTTTAGGGTAGGCTTCCTGGAGGAGGCAGGAAAAGAGTTGGGCCTTGAAGGAAAGGTAAGATTTGGGTAGGTTGAAAGGAGTGGATATTGCCCATGGGAGAACAATGGGGAAAAAGGCAAGAAAGCAATAAGAGACCTGTGGTACAAAGGAAACCATAAGGAGACAGGGTTGGCTAGAATGAATTCTCCATTTCAGAGAGGAATAGGAGAGTGGGTTAGGTAGCAAAGTTGTAGTCAAAATGGGGAAGATTTGAAATGTTAGGATAAATTAAGATGTAACCTAAATCATGAGGAGCTGTAGTAGATTCTTAGGAACAGAAATGACTCGACCTATTTAGAGTCAACAATATAAATGATTCTAGGAGACACCAGAGTGGGTTAAATTATGGAACGGAGAGGGTAGTCCCTGTGCTTGGGGAGATTACAGCATGAGGTTATACCAGGACCACAGCTTAGAATAACTTCCCTACCTAGTCAGCTATTGGAGAGAGAATCTATAACCATACTGGCCAGATCTTAGATATGGAACACATGGAAAATGAAATTTCTAGTCCCCAACTTCTTATGACAGTTTACTCTGTTTCCCAAAGACCATCTAGTCCAACTTATAACTGAATAAGAATTCCATCTATATCGTTCAAAACAAAGCATGCTACCTACTCTCTATGCATTATCCTCAACCTTCTCATCTCTCAGCCATAGAAACCATGGACCCTGGGTGCTGATAGCTAAGCTTTCCCCTTATCCTCTCCAGAGTCAGGTCTCCAAAACTATTGCCACCCCCATCCCTTCTACCTCCTCTTCCGCCATTCTCCCAAAGAGAGTATGAGCTCCACGTTGGCAAGAATTTTCTTGCTTCCCCCATGCTTAAGGTAGGGCCTGGAATATAGCAACATAGAGAGCAGAGTGTTAAATCTCTCAGGTCCTCCCAAGCGGTGTAGTGGCAGTATGGAAAGCTAGACTAGACTAGAACCAGATTCAGATCCCACCTCAGACATTTACTAGCTGTGTAACCCTGAGCAAGTCACTTAATCCTTTTCAGCCTAATTTTCCCCATCTGTAAAACAAAGGAACAAATAACACCCACCTCACAGTGTTGTGGCAATGATAAAGGGACGTAGCAACATGTAAAGTCCCATACAAACCTTAACTCCATATGAGTGTTTGCAGTCACTAATCTGGCAAAGGAGAAGGTGCTTACTCCATCAGCTGGCACTAGCAAAGATTTGGGGATTCATACATCTATTATCAGCCCATAGATGCCCCACAATGACAAAGCCTAGTATGTAGAACTTTCATTCCCCTTCTAAACACATGCTAAATTTGCCTGTTTCAACCTCCTTTCCCTGGCAGTTTCCCTTAATGCTCACCATGACTTGATATTTACCTAGGTGCATGGAACATTCAAATTTGCCACAGGACTTCTCTCTCTCCTAAAGAACTGGAATTGCAATCTTTGTCATCTCAAGACAACATGTCCAAAACTGAGCTTGTCATCTTCCCCCCTAATCCTGTTTTTGCTCTCAATGTACCTATTTCCATTGATGGCATCACCATTCTTATAACACTCTAGCACAAAACCTCAGTCACCTTTATCTTTTTACCTTCTCAGGCTCCACCATTTAATCAATTATTAATTCCTATCAGTTTATTTCCTGAACTCTTCCCTTCTCTCCACTCACACAAACAACACCCCAATTTAGATACTCATCACCTTGTGCCCCAACTATTATAATAGCATCCTAACTGATCTCCAAACATCTCCTTTCCTCTCTCTCATTTACACATTATACAGCTGATATAGAATAATCATCTCAATGCACAGACCAGATTGTGTCACTCCCCAGGACAAAAATCTTTGGTCCATATTGCTTATAGAGATAAAATACCGATTCTTTGTTCTGGCCTTCTAAGACCCTCCACAATCTGCTTCCCACCTACCTTTACAGCTTTATCCTCTTCCACATTACACACTCTATATCCCAGCCAAACTGGATTGCTTCCTACTTCCTGATATTATCTTGCCAAGTCTGACTCCATGAAATCATGTAGGCCATTTGTTGTGTCTGGAATGCATACATTTCTTCCTCATCCATGCCTTTTTAATTTCTCCATTCTTTTAAGGACGAGTTCAGGCATCACCTTCTCTGTAAGACTTTCTCTTGTCTCCCCAGATAAAAGTATTCTTTCTCTTCACATTTTCCTAAAATGCTGAATCTAGGCCTCCCCTCACCCTCTATGTGTGCACATATTCTGTTTGTCCAGGAGACCATGAACTCCTTGAAGGCCAGGGCCATATCATTTATTTCTTTCACTATCCCCTACACCCAAAATAGTGTCTACAAGACTTAACACTTTGTTAAATGTAGACATTTAACAAATGGTTGTTGCATTGAACTGAATTAAACTGACTGGTTTAGGTAGGAGCAGTGCTGATTTGGCCTAATCTGGGAAGGCTCCTGTTTCAGCAGGCAAGGAGGACATCCTAAGGATTTGATCAACTGAAATACTGGGGACACAAATTCTGGGGCCACAGTCTCTGTGGAATTGGTGTTCCTGAGGTTTGGCAGAGTTTCCACT